GGCAGTACAGATTTGTTTACACCAGCTTTTCCACAAACACAAGGGTAATACCTTGTGCTGTTGAGCTACTATGGCTGCGACACACTAGGTGATAGCAATTTTTGGTTCATTATTATCTTTGGGACCACTGTCATATATATGATCTGTCACTGACCAAAATGATGTCATGTGGTGCATGACTGCACATTAAGGCCACCTCTATTGGTTTTGATGTGGCCTGTGTAAACTGAGGTGGCTAGTCCAAATATACCCTGCAGTTATTAGTGTGCTTCTACATCTCCTGTGGCTCAGTGAGATTTTTGTTTTGCCTTTTTTTTTTTTAAGTTGTAGAAGGACACAATACCTTTATTTTATTTACTTATTTTTAAGTGGTGCTGAGGATTGAACCTAGCCTCACATGTGCTAGGTAAGTGCTCTAACACTAAGCCACAACCTCAGCTCTTCAGTCAGTTCTTTACAGGGGGAAAAACAAAACAAAAACAACTCAAATATAGCACAAGTCCCACTAAAAACTAAGGTACTAAGTCATCACAAGATAAAACATAAAATACAGCCTATGCTCCCCTACTTACTGAACATGTTTCTACATTAGACAACTCTTTTTCTGGGGAGTGGGTACCAGGGATTGAATTCAGGGGCACTTGACCACTGAACCACATCCCCAATCCTATTTTGTATTTTATTTAGAGACAGGGTCTCTGAACACCTCACTTTTGCTGAGGTTGGCTTTGAACTTACGATCCTGATCCTCTTGCCTCAGTCTCCCAAGCTGCTGGGGTTACAGGAATGTGCCACCACACCCAGCTTACATTAGATAATTCTTTTTTAAAAATAAGAGGAAAATTCATTGCCTGGAGTTCATTCCTTAAAAAAAGAAAAAACCAACAAATAAATGATCTCACACTTCATCTCAAAATCCTAGAAAAAGAAGAGCAAAACAACAGCAAAAGAAGTAGAAGGCAAGAAATAATTAAAATCAGAGCTGAAATTAACGAAATCGAAACAAAAGAAACAATTGAAAAAATTGACAAAACTAAAAGTTGGTTCTTTGAAAAAATAAATAAGATCGACAGACCCTTAGCCATGCTAACGAAGAGAAGAAGAGAGAGAACTCAAATTACTAGCATACGGGATGAAAAAGGCAATATCACAACAGACACTTCAGAAATACAGAAGATAATTAGAAATTATTTTGAATCCTTATACTCCAATAAAATAGAAAATAGTGAAGGCATCGATAAATTTCTTAAGTCATATGATCTGCCCAGATTGAGTCAGGAGGATATAGACAACCTAAACAGACCAATATCAATTGAGGAAATAGAAGAAGCCATCAAAAGACTACCAACTAAGAAAAGCCCAGGACCGGATGGGTATACAGCAGAGTTTTACAAAACCTTTAAAGAACTAATACCAATACTTTTCAAGCTATTTCAGGAAATAGAAAAAGAGGGAGAACTTCCAAATTCATTCTATGAGGCCAACATCACCCCGATTCCTAAAACAGACAAAGACACTTCAAAGAAAGAAAACTACAGACCAATATCTCTAATGAACCTAGATGCAAAAATCCTCAATAAAATTCTGGAGAATCGGATACAAAAACATATCAAAAAAATTGTGCACCATGATCAAGTAGGATTCATCCCTGGGATGCAAGGCTGGTTCAATATAAGGAAATCAATAAATGTTATTCACGACATCAGTAGACTTAAAGAACCATATGATCATCTCGATAGATGCAGAAAAAGCATTCGACAAAGTATAGCATCCCTTTATGTTCAAAACTCTAGAAAAACTAGGGATAACAGGAACATACCTTAATATTGTAAAAGCTATCTATGCTAAGCCTCAGGCTAGCATCATTCTGAACGGAGAATAATTGAAGGCATTCCCTCTAAAATCTGGAACAAGACAGGGATGCCCTCTCTCACCACTTCTGTTCAACATAGTTCTCGAAACACTGGCCAGAGCAATTAGACAGACGAAAGAAATTAAAGGCATAAAAATAGGAAAAGAAGAACTTAAATTATCACTATTTGCAGGTGACATGATTCTATACCTAGCAGACCCAAAAGGGTCTACAAAGAAACTATTAGAGCTAATAAATGAATTCAGCAAAGTGGCAGGATATAAAATCAACACACATAAATCAAAGGCATTCCTGTATATCAGCGACAAATCTTCTGAAATGGAAATGAGGACAACCACTCCATTCACAATATCCTCAAAAAAAAAATAAAATACTTGGGAATCAACCTAACAAAAGAGGTGAAAGACTTATACAATGAAAACTACAGAACCCTAAAGAGAGAAATAGAAGAAGATCTTAGAAGATGGAAAAATATACCCTGTTCATGGATAGGCAGAACTAACATCATCAAAATGGCGATATTACCATAAGTTCTCTATAGGCTTAATGCAATGCCAATCAAAATCCCAACGGCATTTCTTGTAGAAATAGATAAAGCAATCATGAAATTCATATGGAAAAATAAAAGACCCAGAATAGCAAAAACAACTCTAAGCAGGAAGTGTGAATCAGGCGGTATAGCGATATCAGATTTCAAACTATACTACAGAGCAAAATAGTAACAAAAACAGCATGGTACTGGTACCAAAACAGGCAGGTGGACCAATGGTACAGAATAGAGGACACAGAAACCAATCCACAAAATTACAACTATCTTATATTTGATAAAGGGGCTAAAAGCATGCAATGGAGGAAGGATAGCATCTTCAACAAATGGTGCTGGGAAAACTGGAAATCCATATGCAACAAAATGAAACTGAATCCCTTTCTCTCGCCATGCACAAAAGTTAACTCAAAATGGATCGAGGAGCTTGATATCAAATCAGAGACACGGCGTCTGATAGAAGAAAAAGTTGGCTACGATCTACATACTGTGGGGTCGGGCTCCAAATTCCTCAATAGGACACCCATAGCACAAAAGTTAATAACTAGAATCAACAAATGGGACTTACTCAAACTAAAAAGTTTTTTCTCAGCAAAAGAAACAATAAGAGAGGTAAATAGGGAGCCTACATCCTGGGAACAAATCTTCACTCCTCACACTTCAGATAGAGCCCTAATATCCAGAGTATACAAAGAACTCAAAAAATTAAACAATAAAATAACAAATAACCCAATCAACAAATGGGCCAAGGACCTGAACAGACACTTCTCAGAGGAGGACATACAATCAATCAACAAGTACATGAAAAAATGCTCACCATCTCTAGCAGTCAGAGAAATGCAAATCAAAACCACCCTAAGATACCATCTCACTCCAGTAAGATTGGCAGCCATTATGAAGTCAAACAACAACAAGTGCTGGCGAGGATGTGGGGAAAAGGGTATACTTGTACATTGCTGGTGGGACTGCAAATTGGTGCGGCCAATTTGGAAAGCAGTATGGAGATTTCTTGGAAAGCTGGGAATGGAACCACCATTTGACCCAGCTATTCCCCTTCTTGGTCTATTCCCTAAAGACCTAAAAAGAGCACACTACAGGGACACTGCTACATCGATGTTCATAGCAGCACAATTCACAATAGCAAGACTGTGGAACCAACCTAGATGCCCTTCAATAGACAAATGGATAAAAAAAAAATGTGGCATTTATACATAATGGAGTATTATTCTGCATTAAAAAATGACAAAATCATGGAATTTGCAGGGAAATGGATGGCATTAGAGCAGATTATGCTAAGTGAAGCTAGCCAATCCCTAAAAAACAAATGCCAAAAGTCTTCTTTGATATAAGGAGAGTAACAAAGAACAGAGTAGGGACGAAGAGCATGAGAAGAAGATTAACATTAAACAGGGATGAGAGGTGGGAGGGAAAGGGAGAGAGAAGGGTAATTACATGGAAATGGAAGGAGACCCTCATGGTTATACAAAAATACATACAAGAGGAAGTGAGGGGAAAGGGGAAAAAAAAAACAAGGGGGAGAAATGAATTACAGTAGATGTGGTAGAGAGAGATTAGAGGGGAGGGGAGGGGAGGGGAGGGGGGAGAGAAGAGGGGAGGGGAGGGGAGGGGAGGGGGGATAGTAGAGGATAGGAAAGGCAGCAGAATACAACAGACACCAGTATGGCAATATGTACATCAGTGGATGTGTAACTGATGTGATTCTGCAATCTGTATACGGGGTAAAAATGGGAGTTCATAACCCACTTGAATCAAAGTGTGAAATATGATATGTCAAGAACTATGTAATGTTTTGAACAATCAACAACAAAAATTAAAAAAAAATAAAAATATTAAATTTTTAGTTGTAATTGGGCACACTCTCTTTATTTATTTATTTTTATGGGGTGCTGAGGATCGAACCCAGAGCCTCACACATGCTCTACCACTGAGCCACCAATCCAGCCCATATTACACAATTCTTAACAGCTTTTTTCTTCAAAGGTTTTTACAAAGTAAAGTTTAACTTTCAGAATGGATTTACATAAAAGAAAACGGATGTGTAAATCAGCAGTTAAGACACTTACAATGCAATTGTAGAACCCTTCCTCTTCTTTCACCTGTAAATTATTTCTTCTGTGGTAGAATACACTAGGATAGCTTTCTGTCACTGACAAAATACCTAAGAAAATCAACTTAAAAAGAGGAAAGATTTATTTTGGCTCAGGATTTCATAAGTTTCTGTGCACGATCACTTGGCCCTATGGCCCTTGGGCCTGTTGTGAGGCAGCAGCACGGCAGGGGTGTGTGGCGGAGGAGGTCTCTTCACCTTATGGTGGTTGGTAAACAAGAGAGAGGGGAAGGGACTGGGATTCCAATATCCCCTTCAAGGGCAAGTCCCCATTGACCTAACCTCGTTTTTTTCTGGGCCCCACCTCCTGAAGGTTCTACTACCTTCCAACAGTGCCACAGGTCGGCGACAGGCACTGAGTATACATACGGACCTTGGGGGGACATTTATGATTGAAATTGAAACAAACAATGTAACTTTTCTGTGTTTAATTAATTCCTTTATTATAAAATGTTATTTTAAAATATTATTTTATTTTTCTTTGCACCATTATAATTGTAGTAACTTTGCTGTGGAAAACAAAATTCAACCCTGTAGGAAAGAGAAAATTTCTCAAGAACACCTACTGGCATCTTTATTTACATATTAGAGCGGGTGAGCCAGTGAAAATCCTAGAAAAGAAAAGACATTCAGTCAGAAGAAATAATTCATCTCAAACTGTACTCTGTTTTGCTTATTCTATAATTTAAAAGTCCCACACAAGGGACTTTTATCAATGAGGTCTGTCTTTGATCTAGTGCTTTCCCAAAAAGGAGCTAACAATCCACTAGTGAACCTTGTTGCCTGTCCCTACAAACAACGTAACATGGCTTTCTGGGTCCTCTTCCTCAAACTGCAATCAGTTTCATAACAAACTAGAGAACGAAAGAAGCAGAAATAACTCAAAAGGAGAGAAGAGAGGATGGAGGTCCACGGAGGGCTGAGCTACAGGGTCTGAGAACAAGGACAAAAAGAACTATGCATGGAAACCTTTTCCAGGACTAACAGTATCCAACACATGTAGCCTGGACACAGGACACTGCAGAGATTTAGGTATTGCCTGTGTTAAAGCAGGAAGTAGCCAGCCTACACTGTGACTCAGTGGTAAATGGCTAAGGGACCATCACTGAAAAGTAATAACATGAAAACTATGGTGTGTGTGTGTGTGTGTGTGTGTGTGTGTACATATACACAGTGGATGGATATATGTATATATTCTTGAGAGGAAGATAATTCAGAAGTGATTAAATGCAAGATATATAAGGATAATCCTCACAGAATTATAAGACAAGGATAAGAACTTCCCCAGAAATACCTGAACAAAATTCAGAGAGAAAATAATAGAATGGATCACTGGAAGCATTTCTTTAGAAGGATGAACTCACTAGCGGAAAGAGCAAGTCACCAGGCTCTTCCATGACTAACACAGATCAAGACCATTTTTATCATAGTATTTGTCAGGGTCTTACAGTGGCTTTAGTTTCCCTAGTACTCTGATGCCCTGATGCCAGGAAGAGGGCATCCTGGTTTACAAAACTAACACCCCAGTCACTGGAAAGTATACACCCAGTTATAAATTAATAAAATGTCATGATTTAAGAACCTGTCCACTGGGTGTCTGGTTGAGAAAAATCACTTCAACAAATAGAACTCGAGGGGAAAAAAAGGCAAGGGGGATGGATGTACTTTAGTGGTAGAGCATGTGCTTGGCATGCATAAGGCCCTGGTTTCAATCCTCAGCACCAGAAAACAAAAGAAAAGGCAATCAGTAAGCCCACAGGGGTACATTTTTCAAGGTGGCTGACCCAATCTCAAAACAGTCTGCCTCCTTGTTCCACAGAAATCCGTGCTAATGCTACCTGCCCATCCCCATCCTGACTCAGTCTGTCTGTGCTCACTTTCCTCATTACCAGACTTCACCTTGAGTATCCCGTCTCTTGGCTATAAGGTAAATTCCAGTCTCTGATGTCTGTTTTTACACAAACAATTCTACATATCTTAAGTTTTTGAATTAGTTCCCTATATTTCATTAATCATCCAGATGTCTCTTTGTGTTCTGCCTTGTTCAACAAAGGAAGAGATTCTATAGTGGATGCCAGTCTAAGAACCAAGACAGAAAGCACTCAAAAAAATCTGTTCTGAAAAGAGTGGCTGACATACCAGGTGGAAACATGGAGGACAGGTGTATAAGAGCAGGTGGGTGACAGGACCAGAGTGCAAAATTAAACGTGAAAAACCAAGAGCAAAAGCAACTTAATCATGTAGCATTGGCATTATATTACTGCTATAATCTACAGTGTAGTTTTGCTTTAGAGGTCAAAGTAACTAATATTGGATGTTACTGCACTAATTATCCTATTACAATTTCATCTCCCACTGTGCGACCTCCATTCTCCTTTCCAGCTGCTCTGGCCTTCTTGCAGTTGCTCAGATGTGGCCTGCTCCCTCTTGCCACACAGCCTTTGCACATCTTTTTCCATTCCTCTTTGACAGATTCTCCCTATTCATCCTTCATATCTCAGTTTAAGTATCACTTCCTCCCAGAAGCCTTCCTTATAACTCCAATATAAATCAGATTCCTTTGTTGTGTGTTTGCTTAGAACTGGCTCCCTTTCCTCTTGAGCAGTTACCTTGGTGGATCATGCAACCTTCAGCTGTGAGGTTATTGGACTGTCCTCTCCCCTGCAAAACAGTTTAAGCTACATGGAGATGAGGACTGAGCCTGGTTTTGCTCACCATGCTATTCCTAACACAGTACACCTAAAGATATCTCAACAAATATTCACTGAACATTTGATAAAATTGCCAAACTCAGACATGTTTATAAAGAACTCTGGGTAACAGTGTTCCTTTCTGGAGGGAGATGAGGAAGGAGCAGATGCATTTCCTGCTTTCTGCTTAGCAAATGCTTTTACCTGGGCCTTCCGTGTGCCTTGTGGCTCAATCATAATGTTGATAAGAGAGGGTTTAGTAGTATCTTCCAGGGTCTGCCTCAGGGATTTTTGGAGTTCTTCCGGTGTTTGTACAAAATATCCTTTGCCTCCAAATGCAGCCATGACCTGTTCATAATGTGAGTCTGGCAGGAGACACATAGGAGGGGCCCTGAAAAAGACGTTACGGGTCAATGAAATTTAAACCTTAAAGCTTCTAGGGAAAAAAAAAAAAATCATTCTCTGAAATAATCAGTGAAAAAACTGAAGCTGAGCTGAAAGGCATACTTTTATATCTAACTCTTTGATCTTGACACTTAAGTTGTCAGAACATGAAATTTTCCTTATATTTTTTATTGTCTATAGAAATACCTAAGAAAACTTCCTGTGATGATGGAAATGTTTTACAGATAGTATGGCAGCCACCAGCTACTTGGTGCTGTGAGCATTTGAAATGTGAGTAAACTGAAGAACTGAATTTTTAGTTCCACTTAATTTTAACTATATATAAGTAGCAACATGTGGCTAGTGGCTACTATGCCAGACAGCCGAGGCTATACTTTCAACTATTAGAATCCAAAAGGGAAAGGAATGGTCACAGCACAACAACAAAGCAGCACATGAAGTCTGGGAGGCATTAACAAACATCCTGGCTGGCTCACAAATTCACATCTTGCACCCCATGGCCAGCTGTAACAGTCTTAGTTTGGCTCTGCCATCAGATGACCAAGATTTAGCTAAGTAGTAAAAGGAAGGAAGACCTCTGGATCATAAACAATATGTAAACATCCATGTCCCTCCCTGGTGTAGTAGGAACATTAAGACTGGGGACCTTGCAATAAGCCCTGTCATTAGCAAAGCTTAGACATACACTCGTGAGTCTTCATCAGCTATAAACTATTTATAAAGCACTAATCACAGAGAGTTGTGCAAAGAGGAACAATGAAGGCAGGGTTTCTATCCTTTAAAAGGGCTGACAATAGAAACAAACAATATTCACATGACACAAGCACATTCCAATACAGCAAACTCTTTAAAGAGAGAATGAGAGAGAGATGAGAGAAAGCAAATACACACTGTTCTGGGTTACTTACACTGTAGTAGCATCTTGACATTTTAACATTTCTTTCCAAGAATCTTTATCAACACCGTGGTAAATTCCATTATTGTTCACCACCAAGAGTATGATTGGCAAATTGTACCTCAAAATGAGAACAAAATAAGAAGGAAATCATTCTTCAATCTTTTCTTTTGGTGTAAATGTTAACTTAAAAATCAGTTTTCTATAGGCATTTTGTAATATTAGAGGAAAACTAAAAACCAAGCATTTATTATCCTAATAAAGAATATTACACCATCAACAGAAACATCATAGAGTGGCAGAAAAAAAAATAACACCTTCCTACTTTATTTTTGGTACCAGACATTGAACTCAGGGACACTTGACCACTGAGCCACATCCCCAGCCCTGTTTTGTATTTTATTTAGAGACAAGGTCTCACAAGCTGCTTAGCACCTCACTAAGTGGCTGAGACTGGCTTTGAACTCTTGCCTCAGCCTCCCAAGTTTCTGGGATTATAGGCATGTGCCACCACATGGGCAACACCTTTCTACTTAATATCCTCTGAAGCACGTCTTCTGAAGAAGTTGCTAGGAATACTGTTTAGAAAATGCCTTTCTATTCACTGAGCTCCTCACAGACAATCAGTCCTTCCTAGATGCTGTGAGAGGCACACAGCAACTGGCAAAGTCAGTTTGTGCTCACACTTCTACCTGTAATCAGAGATGCTTCAGCTGCTGTAATCAGTAGAAAGAGTGTCTAACAATGTCTTCAATGAAGAAAATAGACCAATAAAAAAAGCAAAACAAACAACTGATTAAACTTCATTAGTTACAGAAAAAGAATAGGGATTTTATTTCCAACAGATTAATTTCTTAGGATAGGCAGTGAAGCCAAAACTGAACCACACATTGCTATACTGTAGGATTGTGGCAACTATTTACTCTCCAGGTTAAAAGGGAATCATTACTCTCCAGAAAGCTGACTCCCCATAAATCATTTTTTTGGTGTCACTTAGTTGTCAATATTGACACTCTAACAGGCAGTATCTTCCCCCAATCTTGAATATACCAAAGCTTCAAAAGCCCCAAAACAGCCAGGCATAGTGGCACACACCTGTAACCCCAGCAGCTTGGGAGGCTGAGGCAGGAGGATCTCAAGTTCAAAGCCAGCCTCAGCAAAAGTGAGGTGTTAAGCAACTCAGTGAGACCCTGACTCTAAATAAAATACAAATACAGCTGGGGATGAGGCTCAGTGGTCTAGTGCCCCTGAGTTCAATCCCCAGTACCCACAAAAAGAAAAGCAAAAGCCCCAAAACATGTTCACAGAAGTCCTAATAAGAGTCCTAAGAACCGAATGGCTTTACTACAGTTTAAATATAGCTGGGGATAGGGGGTCCCCTTAATCCTTCAGTAGGAGCCACAACTCATGAGTTTCTCCATGATTCCTCATGACTAAAAATATAACCTGAATGACTCATATTCACTAGGCATCACTTCAAAATTTACCCTAATTATTTCATTTGTTCCCCACAATCACTCTCTAAGGCAGGAACTATTGCTATTCCTACTCCTATTTTAGAGAGGGAAGAGAGAGGCTTGGTTAAATGACACAAATAAAATCACTTGGCCTGACAGAGTAGAACCAGTACTGAAATCCAGGCCACCTAGCCCAGAGGTTATGCTCTTAACCACCAGGTTCCTCTATCTCCCTGCAGAAAACAAGCTTCTCTCAGGCCCATTTTTCTTTTTCAGTGACCTCAAAACTACACCTCACCACTCTGCAGGTTATTTACACTGTGTTATCTACCAGTGCTATGCTCAGGGCACCTGGCAATATGGGGAACACTTGGGAACTGTCAGGCAAGGGGGTCTTGTGTGTAAATTTTCACATTTAGGAGAAGAAAATGCTCTGCTGTAGGACTGTGTCTTACCTGCAGATGGTTTCCACCTCCATGCCAGAAAACCCGAAGGCACTGTCTCCCTCCACACAGATGACCCTTTTCCCAGGGTTTCTATCTTTAGCCACTAGAGCAGCTGCAATAGCAAATCCCAAACCAACTCCCATTGTTCCAAAAGTACCAGCATCAAGCCTGTTGGGGAACAAAGCCAAAATAAAATCTCTGGGGCATGTCATAGAAGGTGGCATTGGCACAAACCTTCTAGTTATATTTACATGGCTCATTGGAAAATAAAAAAATGTGAAAACATTCTCTTTAATATAAAAGTTTTTGACTAGAAGGAACTGATTTGTCAAGAATAAGGAACATGAGAGGAAAAAGCTACATGATCGCTCAGAGGACTTTAAAGATATCCTTAGAACAATAAGCATGTAAATTGTCACATGATAATCATATATCAAGCATAAAAACTCTATATAAAAACTCAACCAAGAATTCACTTATATGTCCTTATACTATAAACACATAGTTCCCAAACTTTTTTTCTACAGCATTTAACTTCTTAAAAATTTTATTTTCATAGATTAGTTTCATTTAGAGATTTTCGCAATAGAAAAGTTACACTATTTTACACTTTTATATTTGTAGACAGATTATTTTAGAATAAGTAACAAAAATATATTTGACAATTAAGTCCCAGTTTATAATTGAATTATTAAAATAACTGTAATTAGAAGATTTGTCTCAACTTGGACTTTTCTGTTATTTCCTCCTATTGCCAGTCAAATGGCAATGACAGAGCAAAGGAGGTGAACAATCAATTCCTTTTTATTTTTTTTAGTTGTAGATGGACACAATACCTTTATTTTGTTTATTTTTATGTGGTGCTGAGGATCGAACCCACTGCCCCACATGTCGTTCTACCATTGAGCTACAACCTCAGACCCACAATCAATTCTTAAGGTATTAAGTTAAAAAGGTCAGAGCATCCACTGCATAGTTGGAATTAACAAAACCCAGCAAAGATTAAAGCTGAGAGTGTCAAAAGACCTGCCTTGGCAGTTTTCTGCCATGTAAGTCCATGGACACAGTCAGAAAGAATTTGTCCAAGGCCTAGTTGACTTGGAGAGTGGAGGCTGCAGCCAGGGAGATCATCACAGAGCAAGGACTAAAATCAGCAGTTCGATGCAGGCTCAGAAGCAAAACACTGACAACACTCTCACCAGTCCAGTAGTGAACAGACTTCGAACCCACTCTGGGGTAGGCTGGTCCTGGAGAAAATAAGGCTTGTGGGCACTGGTGACCAGTGGGGTTCCAAAGCAACCAGTGATCAGCCTCCTTGGGCACCAGAGGACACTCCACTTCCAGAGAACCACCACCTCATCCCTTAGTTGTGTTTGTAAAGAAGTAGAATTTTGTTAAGAGTTAAAGCCTCCTCTGTACTTCTCCCTGATGCCATTTTATCCCTACCTCTCCACAGGTAATAACTAATTTAAATTTGGTGTTTATTAATCTCATGCATTTGGTATTATTTTAAAATTATATAGATGGCATTAGACTGTACCTTATTTCAGTTAAGATTACATTTCTGATATGTGTTCATGCTGACTCAAGTACCTTTAGCATATTCATTTAAATTATTGAAGAGTATGCTGGGGATATAGCTCAGTTGGTAGAGTGCTTGACTCATGCACAAGGCCCTGGGTTCAATCCCCAGCACCACAAAAAGAAAAAAAGGAGTATCAAATCAAGAGATGCTAACTTATTTTTCCATTCATCAACATTCAGGTGACTTCCTATTTTTATCATGATTAACACATATTAGTTGTGCAAATTAATGGAATCCACAGTGACATTTCTATCCACACATATATCATGTCCATCCATCCCTCTTTGGCCTCCTTTCTCTTCCCTGCCCCTAGTCTTTCTCCTTTTCTCTAACAGTCCCTCTTCTTCTTTCAGGTCACCTCTCTCTTGTTTTTTATGTTTTTACATTTGAGAGAAAACATGAGATAATTGTCTATGTAAGGCTTATTTCATGTAACAGGTTCTTCCAGTTACATCCATTTTCCTACAAATGACAGGATTTCATTCTTCATGACTAAATGATATTCTCCAGTGTATAGTTATCATATTTTCTTTACCCATTCATCTGCTGTTGGGCACCTACACTGATTCTATAACTTGGCTATTGTTTATAGTGCCATGATAAAGAAAGGTTGCACATGCTGCACATACTGCTTTTGCGTGCTGACTTCATTTCTTCAGGTATGCACACAGGAGTGGGATCATATGGTAAGCTCTATTTTTTATTTTTGAGGTACCTCCATACTGTTTTTTTGTGGTGGCTATACTAGTTTCCAATCTCATCAACAGTGTATAAGGGTTTCTTTTTCTCCACATCCTCACCAGGATTTTTTTTTTTTTTGAGCCATTCTGACGTGGCTAAAGTTGAATCTCAAAGTGACTTTCATTTGCATTCCCTGATGGTTAAAGATATTGAGCATTTTTTCATGTAGCTATTTGATCATTTGTACTTTTAAGAAGTATCTGTTGAGATTACTTGTCCATTTTTTGAGTAGATTACTTGTTCTTTTGATGTTAAGTCTTATTGGTTCTGTTTAGTTCTGTTTCTTTAATTCTGTAGGCTGTCTCTTTACTGTTGATTGTTTCCTTTGCTGTGCAGAGCTTTTTAATTGAATGTAATTTCATTTGTCAATTCTTGCTTTTGTTTTTGAAGTCCTATTCAGGAAATTGTTAACTGTGCCAGTATCCCCAGTTTTCCTCCAGTAGTTTCAAAGTTTCAGGTCTTACATTAAGATCTTTGATCCATTCTGAGTTGAAATTTGTGCAAGGGAAAAGCCAGGGAACACATTTCAATCTTTTGCATGTGATTATCCAGTTTTCCCAGCAAGCATCATTTGCTGAAGAGGCTGAACCTTCTCCAATGTACATTTTTGACACCTTTGTTGAGAATCAGTTGGCTGTAGATATATGGGTTTAATTTTGGGGTTCTCTTTTTCTTTTTTTTTTTTGGTACCAGAGATTGAACCCAGGGGTGCTTAACCACGGAGCCACATCTTCAGAACCTCCCACACACACACTTTTTTTTTTTTTTGAGACAGGGTATCACTAGGTTGTTTACAGTCTCACTAAATTGCTGAGTTTGGTTTGAGGCTATGATCCTGCCTCAGCCTCCAGAGCCACTGGGATTACAGCCATGTACCATGGCACCTGGCTTGAGTTCTCTATTTTCCACTGGTCTATGTGTCTGATCTTTACTGTTTCTTTCCTCTGCTGATATGATTTTTTTTTTCTTATTTGGAAAAAATAAGGTGTTGCGATCATAATGTAATTTGAGATCTTTCTTCTTTTTTAACGTAGGTACTCATTGCTACAAACTTTTCTCTTAGAATCGTTTTTGCTGCACCCCACAAGTTTCAGTGTTCTCTCCATTTTTGTTTGATTCAAAGAAATTTTAAAATGTCCCTTCTTACTTCTTCAATTATCTACTAGTTGATCAAAAAGTATATTGGTTCAATCTCCATGTGGTTTTTATAATTTCCTCAGTCTCTCGTTTGTTGTTGATTTCTTCCCCGCTGCTACTTGAGGTTGAACCCAGGGGCACTTTACCCCTGACAGTACCCAATCCTTTATTTTTTTGAGACTGGGTCTCACTAAACTGCTAAGGCTGTCCTTGAATTTATAATCATCCTGCCTCAGCCTCCTGAGTCGCTGGATTATAGGCATATACTGGCTTTTTGTTAACTTTGTTTCATTCCGTTATGATTGAAGAAGAAGAAAATGCGAAATATTGCTTCATTCTTTTGAATTTGTTAAGATTTGCTTTGTGTCCTAATATCTGAACTATTTTAGAAAAAGTTCCATGTACATTCTACAGCTGTTGGATGGAATATTCTATAAATGCCTGTTAAGACCATTTGTTCTCTAGTGTAATTTAACTGGTATTTGCTGACTTTTTTGTTTGGACCATCTACCTATTGATGAGAATGAGTACTGAAGTCACCCACTATTATTGTTTTGGGGCCTACCTCTCCCTTTATGTCTAGTAGAGTTGGTTTCATAAAGCTGAATGCTCTGATGTTCAGTGCACATAAATTTATAATTATTATATCTTCTTGATGAACTGTTCCCTGCTGGGAGCCATTAGCCAAGTAGGTATGACAATTTCCTTGCCAGCGTACCCCATGTTGCTTAGTGGAAGGACTCGTGGAAATAGGACATTTTGCAGTGACATTGCATGTAGGTGACCTTGCTCAAGGACCAAGGCGGATCCGGGTTTAGGGCGTTCCCGGTTTAGGACTATCCGGGTTTAGGGTGGTTCCAGGTTTAAGGTTATTCCTGCTGGGAATAGGGCGTATCCTGCTGCCTGAGTTCCCCTTGAGTTCTCACGGGATTCAGACAGTATTTTTTGGGAGACAGAAGCCCAGTGGGGGTGGATTTGGGCAGAGAACGTGGATTTCCCCAGAACGTGATTGTAGATGGCTGGTGTGAGTTCGGGAATAAAGAGTTGCTGTTTGAATCTACAAGCTGTGTGGTGGCTCGTGATTTTGTGCCCAGCCAGACTGCGGCATTTGGCGTCCCGTGCGGGGAACTTCTGAAGCTTGGAGGTAAGTGAAATTGCTTGTCCCTGAGGAAGAGCAAAAGAATGGGTGACCATTTCAAAAAAAACCAGTGCGTTCTTGTTTTGATTTATTTTGTTTTTGTTTCAAGCTGCCTATCCCTAGAAATTTCTCAGGCAAACTGGAAAAAATGGTTGACTAAAGGTTTGAAGTTTGTCGGCCCTGAGGAAGAGAAAATTGATACAACGATTTTTTATTCCGTTTTTGTTTCATTCAGTTTCGGTTTTGTTTTGTGTTATCTTATTGGGTTGTGTTATCTTTATAGTAGATTACAAATTAGTAAAAAACAAACCGAAAAGATGTTAAGTAAATTGTTAGAGGTTCAGACCATGGAGAAAGACATTTTAGATCAAGCAAAAGAGAAGGTCTCTCGAGCTAGTCAGACAGAGGAAGAAAATTTAAAGGAAAAGGGGTTGTTAGGAAAAAGGCCACAACAGGAGGCTGTTACTAACTCCGTTTTATCACAAGAGGGCGTAATTCAACCAACAGCCCCACCGATGGAGACAGCTGAGTGGCCCTCAAACCCCGTAGTTGATAAATGGGATCCTG